GAGGGAGGTGGGTACAATAGGGAGCTTTAGTGCCAGGAAAACTTTTTTTCCCTAGTGCTATAGTTTCCTTTTAAGAGACATTCTTAAGAGTTAAAGGAACACTGTAGGCACCATGACTGCTTCATCTCAATTAAAGTGGTTATAATGCCCCGTCTCCATCCTTCCATTCTGAATTAAACCAATTTTAATGTTTAATGCTAAATGAGCTAATGACTTCCTCATTAGCCCAAGCAGCACAGCTGGAGACACTCATTTAGCATTAAACATTAAAATTGGTTTAATTCAGAATGGAAGGATGGAGACGGGGCATTATAACCACTTTAATTGAGATGAAGCAGTCATGGTGCCTACAGTGTCAGCTGACCGCATTCAGTCTATCACAGTGCACATTTCTGAATGAATTGGTATGGCTAGAAGGAAGTGTGCAATCTCTTCCTTAGTTACACCTCCAGTAGGGGCTTGGCTGTGGGCGGCCAGGGAGCCTCATCCAGTGTTAACGGCTTGAAAATGGATTAACACTGAATGCAAGGAAAGTAACGGAGGACTCCAGGCATCGTCACCAATTCAATGAGATGAAATGGTAATAGTGACTAATTTTTGGGGTTATCCTAAATTAGAATTGGTAGTTTCTTCTGGTCCCAGTGTTCATGGTAAATAGGAAGCCCATAGAACCTGGGAGATTCTTGCAGTCTGGTAATTCACCTTAATAGACCAATTTGTTATGATAATCTGCCCATTCATCTACATTGCCCACTACGAGGGTGTAGTTTCAAAAGACGTGTTGAAGAAGGATTAGTTTAGAGCTGTCAAATTGCAATTAGATAGTATCCTATAAATGTGGAGTATCTTGGGATAAAATAAGGTTTAACGAAAGTTATCTGTGTGTGCGCTCAGGAAACACAGACGCTTACAATGGAGGGGAGGCAAATAATTAGCAAAAAACATAGGTAGAGCCAATGCTGAGGGGGTGCGGACCGCCCAGATGCTCTGTAGATAGGCGGGGTGTGCAACACTAGGCTCTGCCCCCTGCAGGAGATACCACCTCTCTTGTTATGCCCGCCCCCTCTGCCATCCAGCGCCAAAAGTGCAGGTTTAGGTCTTAATGATAGAGGGCAGGATCTACCTGAGGGGGTGGAGCCTAGTGCTGCACACCCCGCCTATCTGCAGAGCACCTGGGCAGTCCGTACCCCCCAGGATTGGCTCTGTCCATAGGCATTGCCATGTAGATTATATTAACATATATTACAACATATCAAAAGCAGATTTTACATGATGACTGACATTTAAAGGAAAAACTGTTTTATTACATTTTCACTTTTTTTTTTTTTTTTAAAGGGACACTATAGTCACCAGAACAACTACAGCTTATTGAATCATTACTTTCAGGCTTTTTGCTGTAAAAACTGTGTTTTCAGAGAAAATACAGTGTTTACATTACAGCCTAGTGATAATTTCACTGGCCACTCCTCAGATGGCTGTTAGAGATCCTTCCTGGGTCATGGCTGCCTAAAATGCATCCAAACATTCAGTATCTCCTCCCTCTGCATGCAGACACTGAACTTTCCTCACAGAGATTCATTGATTCAATTCATCTCTATGAGGAGATGCTGATTGGCCAGGGCTGTGTTTGAATCATGCTGGCTCTGCCCCTGATCTGCCTCCTTGTCAGACTCAGCCAATCCTATGGGGAAGCACTGTGATTTGATCAGGCCACCACTTCTGTAGATGTCAGCTTACTGCTTGTTTTTCTGAGACAAACAGAATGCGGAGTTACAGCTTCAGGCTTGAATACAGTAAGATTTTGTTATATTTATGGAGGCATGAGAGGCCCAGGGGGGCTAGATGGTGGTTTTAACACTATAGGGTCAGGAAAACATATTTGTGTTCCTGACCCTATAGTGATCCTTTAAAGTTTATCACGTTTTATAAAAAAACCTTATGATATTTTTTATTTTATGTATATTGTTTTTTTGTTTTTAAAGAAAATTACACTTTTTATCTGGCTAAGTGGCCATTTTGGGTTAAACTCTACTGTTTTCTGAACAACTCTAGCTCAGGCTAACTAACTTACCTGCTTCTGGGTTTGCTCTCTGTGAAACTGCAGCAACAGGCAAAATAACAGTAGAGTCTGACCCCAAATGAAATGCTAAATTCAATTTTCTTTAACAAAAGAAATAAAATCAATATACAGTATTTAAAAATACCATAAAGTTTCATTAACCCCTTCGAGACCAGATCGTTTTTCAATTTTCTTACCGATAAAGGATCACTATAGTGTCAAGAAAATAAACTCGTTTTCCTGACATTATATCATCCTTAAGACCACCCCCTCCTTTAAAACCCCTTCAGCCACTTTAATCCAGCGCCGGGCTCCCCTACCGACGTCAGTTCCCGAGTGGAGCCGAATGCGCAAGTGCGGCAAGAGCCGCGCGCGCATTCAAACAGTCCATAGGAAAGCATTTCTCAATTCTTTCCTATGGTCATTCTGCACGCTGGATGCGATTTTTGCTTCCAGCATCGCAGAAGCGCCTCTAGCGGCTGTCAGTAAGACACCCACTAGAGGTTGGATTAACCCTGCTATGTAAACAGGGTTAAAACCTGGGGGACCTGGCAACCAGACCACTTCATTAAGCTGAAGTGGTCTGGGTGACTATAGTGTCCCTTTAAGGACCAGGGTTCTTTTTACATTTCTGCGGTGTTTGTGTTTAGCTGTAAAGACTATTTTGACTTGGGGCACCTTGGAAAAATATTAAAATATTAATATTAATTGCGCCTTGAACCTAAAAAAGTTTGGTAACCACTGGTATAAATGTTCCAAATTAGATGGGAGAAAATCATGTTGCATTAGTTAAGAATCATTGAACTTTTTGCGCCCTCTAGTGTACAAAATGTGTATATTAGATTGGTTTTTTTTCTGGTAAAAGTGAATGCTTAGAACAGCTATTTAGGAGAGACAGTCCCTATATTGGGTCCAAATCCATCTGTCCCTCTTTTCTATCTTAATGTTTCTCTTTTTTAGGAGCTCCATATTGTTGGTATGTATGAGTGTATGACAGAACTCATAGCAATAATACTCCCAGCAGAGACGGAAATAGAACTCACGGGCCCCCTTCCTCCCAAGCTGACCTCTTCACAGGGGGCCGGTTAAAGCATCACCACACTGACTGGCCCCTGGAAATACATTTCATCGGGTGGCCCTAAGAGTATGGGCCACCCAATGGGCCCCTAAATGTGCTTGTACCCCCCAGTCGCAGAGGTCCACAGGGCGGCCTGGCCCCTTGGAGTGACGGGCCTGGTTGCAGCTTGCAAACCCTGTGTACGTGGTAGGTCCACCACTGAATCCCACTACAATAAATGTGTTTAGAAATCAGTCTGTGTAAGTAAGATACATTGTTCTTGTTCTAAATTACATTTTAGTGGTAGAAATTGTTATTAGTAAGTTACCTAAAATGACCAGCCCGGACCCTGGCCACCCCCCAATTCACACTACTACTAATAGTATTTATAAACTCCCAGCAGGCATCACAGTGCCGATGTCAAGATGCTGGAAAGGACAAGCAAAAATAATCTGACCAAGAAGACTCCGCAATTACGACTATGGCAGAATTACTGGCACTGCATATTGGCTAGGTCCAGTGTACTTGACTGGAAAATTCTATGTATTATCAGAGACAAATATCGGTTTTATACAGCACATTGGCACAAATGCAGTTTAACTGTTCAAGGAACATTGTCTCTTTAACTACAGACACACACTCTGACAATATTGCAAAGCTGTTTTGGTTTTTAGAGTGACTTTTTAAGTCAACTTCACAGACTCTCCTCTAATAGGTGACATTGATACATCTGCCGTAGTAGGCGCCTTAGCCAAGACTGATCTTTGGGGAAGTTAATTGCACGTTTTACAAACTTGAAGACAGGAATAAGATTCTTCTGTGATTCTAAAATGCCCCCAGGAAGGGATGGTTGTTCACATCTTTTGCTTGTTTTGGTTACAGGAGTTACAGACCGCTAAAGCACTTATTTTCGCTTTACGTGTGAAAAGTGTGCCCTCTTTTTTTCCATTTTAGAAAACGTGCAGACTTCAATAAAAATCGGCACTTTCATAAATGAAACTTGTTACACCCCCCTGGCTGTCAATCAGACAACCAGTCCTGTTATTTCATAGAATGTGACGGCAGATAAGAACCATTCGGACCATCTAGTGTGCCCAGTTTTTTTAAATACTTTCATTAGTCCCTGGCCTTATCTTATAGTTAGGATAGCCTAATGCCTAACCCACGCATGCTTAAACTCCTTTACTGTGTTAACCTCTACCACTTCAACTGGAAGCCTATTCCATGCATCCACTACCCTCTCAGTAAAGTAATACTTCCTGATATTATTTTTAAAACTTTGCCCCTCTAATTTAAGACTATGTCCTCTTGTTGTGGTAGTTTTTCTTCTTTTAAATATAGTCTCCTCCTTTACTGTGTTGATTCCCTTTATGTATTTAAATGTTTCTATCATATCCCCCTGTCTTGTCTTTCCTCCGAGCTATACATGTTAAGTTCCTTTAACATTTCCTTGTAAGTTTTGTCCTGCAATCCATGAACCAGTTTAGTAGTCCTTCTCTGAACTCTCTCTAAAGTATCAATATCCTTCTGGAGATATGGTCTGCAGTACTGCGTACAATACTCCAAGTGAGGTCTCACAAGTGTTCTGTACAATGGCATAATTTCCTGGATTGGTTAGTTCAGTGGAGCTAAACTCAAGAGGCAGCAATTGACCAGAGCACCTGCCTTGCAAAGACTTCTCATTGAGCTTCATTGGAAAGTCTGTGATTGGACAGTCACAGAAAGTCTGGGCGGGGTTAGAAGGGGAGGGTTAACAATGGCTTCTACAAGATATTTGCAGCTTGTGCAGGATGTTTGTAGATTTATCCCCAATGTAAAAATGCATAATTAAATAGAATAATGCTTTACATATTGGTAGAGGAACACTATAGTGTTAGGAATACATTTTAAATCAATAAGCCAACCAACCTTTTACACAATGAGTGTCCAAGGGATTCGACAACCTGTACCATTTTATCAACATTGTGACTAAATCATTCTTCTTCTCAGAGCTCAAAGAAGGCCTTTGGGCCTACCACTCCAATAGTTCACATACTTACAACTTTGCACACAAATTCTTTATTAAATTATTACCAATGTCTCCTACCAAGAAATTAGTCTCAAGATGACCCAGAATGTATATTTTATGCATGCCAAGTGCGATGGGCAGAAAATCTTATACAAAATGTTTCGACATTAGGAGATTTTAAAGGGAGACCGAAACCTACTACTGCGGTATTAACCCGATCGTCAAGCAGCTCTGACCTTCCAGAGTGTGCTGTTCCCGCAATTTCTGAAGTGCAGCCTACTTGTGTCTTCATATTCCTGACCTATACATTTCACTTAGAGAGTGTAGCTGTGACACCTACACAATCCCTCACAAATTGCCCTGAATCTCTCTCAAGCCAGAATCTTTGATGTTATGTATAACTCCAAACCAACATTATTTTTTTTAAGAAATTCATTATGATCGTATAGGCTATGGCCCGAAAAACCTTATTACAGGTGTTGAGACAACCTACCGCCTCCAAACTTTAACCAATAAGAAAATTATGGATAAAATGTACCTTAAAACTTAGAAAGATTACCTATTAACTCTAAATTCCTAATTTCAATGCAAAGAACAATGCACACTGGAATATACTGTCTTCATTCCTTAGAAGTGGTGGCGGGCTATTCACCCCTACAAATACTGGTAATACCCCATTAATACCATTATTTCTGTCCCAATCACAGCAATAACCACCTTCCTGGATTTTCCAAGTAGAGAGACATGTTAAAGTTGTTGTCTGTGTTTTCTACTCTCTCTCTTCCTTCTGGTGGGGGATGAAAGATCTGCCCCCCCTCCTCTTCTTTCATCTTTCCTTCTTTCCTTCCATTTTCCCCCCTTTTAATTCTTCTTTTGTAAAATTGAAATAAGAATGTCCCCAGCGATCCACCTGCCGTAAATGATGTGTTTACATTTTTTACCATTCTGTAACATTCTCAATAAAATGTTTGGCAAAAGTATGATGGGCATTTGTGATTCCCCATCATAAAACAAAAGATCTCTCTTTTATAAGGAGAGTAATATGCAACAAGGTAAGGGCCATGTGAATGATCCCAAATCCTCCTTCCACACCCTGGACAGTGAGGTGAAGGGTATAATAAAACCAGGTAAGTGCCCAGTGAGTGTCCTCGGCAAGTTCCTTCACTCCCTGGTCTCGAAGGTCCTTAGTCTAATAATAGATGGTCCAGTGAATACTTATCCTGCTGGTGCTAATAGCTATGGGACCAGGAAATGTCATCATTAACAATACGACTTGTTCCCTATCCCCCTTATTCCTGGCTGGCCAATTTGCTTTTTCCTTTATCCACATGCAGTATTGTGGGGTTTGAGGTCTTAAACATCTGCAAGCACTAAAGGTCCGAGATGTTTCTTAAAAGGGCCTGTTAATCTATTTCCTGTACATAATGCCAAGCTTAATGGTACACGTGTACAACGTCAGTCTATCTTAACTATCGTACAAGGCTTCACACTGCAAGCTGGAAATGGACTATCAGAGGGAGCAGCTAGGGCATCCAGTGCTTATAAACATCAAGCCGGCAAAACCCTCAGCACACCATGATGGTGGTAAGGTGGTGGAGAGACGACCCATTGGTTTCCTCTAGTCTATCAAAGCAAGGTAGGTCAAGGATTAGGAGTGCTGGAAATGTGGGATAGGATGGTGTACAGAGGAAAAATGAATGAGAGATTATTGGCAGGGATGAGGAGATGATTGGATGTGAGATGGGATGGGAAGAGGTACAAAAGGGAAATAGACACTAGAGTGTTTTGTGGGAGAAATGAGAGATAGACACAAACAGGAGGGAAGAAATAGGGATACACGGTTAATAAGCATGTGTCTGTGCTTGAGTGTGTATATCGGTGTCTGTGCTGTGATATTTATAATTACAGACGTAAGTCTGTCTCTTCTAATTTAGACTGTCAGAATACATGGTTAATATGTCGAACCTCATTACTTTCAGCATGGTAGTATTTGTGGGTTTTCCTTTCTTGGTATTTGGGCTGTATACTTTAAATCTAAAGACAGGTCTCATCTCTGATTGTCTGTTATCCATCTGGACTGATCTTACGTTATGACCCCTGGCTTATTTATGGGGATTGTGATTTACTAACCCATTGGATAACCTCGTTAGATAGTGTCCCCTTGTCATTGACATGAACTTCTTATGGTATAAAAGTGTAAGCTCACCAGCCACGTCAGGACAAAACCTGTTAGGTGAGTCCTACACTAACAATTTTGAGCTTAAACATGAATGGCCATTGGAGTGATACGAAAAAGTCTCCTGTCATTTAAATATGCATAGGGAGTTGAGATCGTGAGCAAGTAAATTTTTTTTTTTATTATTCTTTATTGTCATAGTGCAATGAATGACAAACAGGCTTGTGATGCCCCAACAGCAATGACAAGCGGGATGCTGCTCTTCCAAACCACAGACTCGAGGGTGAGGAGATCGGCCGCTTCTCCCTGTCTCAGTCCCCGGTAGGCCGACAGTGTTAACCTGCATGAGGGGTGTTGTATAGCTTGCCCGAGAGTTCCTGACCTAATATGGGCACAGGATGTTATGTGGCAGCGGTAAAGTTGGGGTATATACACCTTTTTAAAGCAAGCTTGCAGAAGCTCTAGTGACACACGTCTAGTTAGATTGAATGTCAGGCTCTGCCCGCAAGTAACTTTTTTTCTGTGGTTTTCATGGTATGTATTGGGGCTGATCTGTACAGTCATTCCTGTCACCAAGGAATAGTGGGAGTTTGAGCACAGGGTTTATTTTGTATGTTTATATGAACTTCTTATGGCAATTTAAGCACTCTTACAGGTGACGGACTTGGCTTTGGTTAAAACCAATCCTCTTCTTACTTTGGTGATTTGGCATTGAGATCTGTCAATTTCCTGGAAACCCACTTTGGCTTAGAGTCAGGGGTTAGCAGCGAGAGCAGCCCAACATGCAATATGTCTCAGATAGCGTGGTACAGATAGGGAAAATCTAGAGGCATCGTCAGACAGAAGGTAAGGTCAGTATAGACAAGAGGTCAGATACCAAAGGTCAGAGCAAATGTCAATGTCAGAGCACAGGAGCAACTGGACTTTGGACAGCAGGCACAACTGAGCACTGAGGGAATTTGCAGAGAGCCTTAAATAGGGAGATGGAGGTACTCCCTCCCTGTGTCATGCCCCATCAGGAGCACGACACCCCCGAGCCGCTCTGACTCCCACATGGGAGCAATATATAGGAAGGCGAGTACTTGACAGTTAGTTAGTGACTCTCTTTTTGGATTAAAAGTTAACAGACATTACATGTATCAAACAACTGCTCTTTTTCATTTAACCTCCCATACTACCCAGTCTCTGGCTGCTTCCAAGGAACCAATCTATGGCTTTAATAAGAATTACTGTCTCTGCCTGCTTGTCATTAGAATATTAATTATTGCTCTAACTCTACAGTGTTTCCTTAAATGCATTTGAACTTTTCTAAGCTGCCTTCTAAAGGTCTAATGGCTTTGCTTCACACCGAATAGCATTCATTCTGTCTTAAATCACCACTTTAAATAACATAACCACTATAGTTTGCAGGACAAAAGTGTATGCCATACGATCATAGTCCACAGACCATGTTCCTGATGCTCTCTAAAAAGTGTAGGAGCAGTCTGCTTAACCACTAAACAGTGATTGCCCTGGGAACGTAGGTTAGAATATATTTTATTTTTTTTAGATTTTTATTTGTATATTATATAATACATAAAAATAAGGGATTTATTTTATGCGATAGAAAGCAAAATGCACGAACATTAGGGAATTAACGCGTTCACTGTGTTCTGGGGAATTCCAGTATCTGATTTTTTGAGACATTGCATTAGTATCAACTCATTAGAGAATTTACTTGAAAGATATTTTGTTCTATTTATGTAATTATTTGTTTGTTTTATACTATATTAGTTATTTCGAGCTCCATTAAAGGAACAGACTGCTCCTTGTTCCTTTGCCCCAGTAAATGCTATTTCACCTTTTACTGGGATGAATAAAGCAGCGGAGGTAGCAAAATGCTTACACGGTTTCAGGTAAATTGAGGATACAAAGCTGTATTCCTAACACTATAGTGAAATATTACATTGACATAAGTATGCAAACCCTTAACTCGGCAGTAAGTTCAAGCACCTTGGGCAGCAATTACATCATCAAGTCATTTGTGTATCAGGCAACAAGCTTTGCACACCATGATTTCAACAGTTTCTGCCATTCAACTCTGCAGATCATCTCAAGCTCTGTCTGGTTGGATGAGGACCATCTATGGACAGCCATTTTCAGGTCTCTCCAGAGATGCTCAGTTGGGTTCAGGTCTGGGCTGAGCCGCTCAAGGGCATTCACAGAGTTGTTCTTAAGCCATACGTTCATTGCCCTGTTGCAATGTGAACCATTGGTCCAGTCTAAAGTTCAGAGCGCTCTGGACAAGTTTTAGATTAGGTATTTTGCTGTATTGAAGGACCACTATAGTGCCAGGAAATCAAACTCGTTTTCCTGGCACTATAGTATTAATATAGTCCCCCCCACCCTCTGGGTCCTCCTCCCGCCAGGCTCTAGGAGTAGGAAGGGGTTAAAATCTTACCTTTCTCCTGCGCCGGGCTTCTCCTCCTCCTTCTGACCTCATCGGCTGAATGTGCATGCGCACACATTCAGTCAGTCCATAGGAAAGCATTCTCAATGCTTTCCTATGGACGCTGGCGTCTTCTCACTGGGAAAATCAAAGTGAGAAGCGCGGAAGCGCCTCTAGCGGCTGTCAATGAGACAGCCACTAGAGGCTGGATTAACCCTCAGTGTAAACATAGCAGTTTCTCTGAAACTGCTATGTTTACAGCAGGCAGGGTTAACCCTAGATAGACCTGGCACCCAGACCACTTCATTGAGTTGAAGTGGTCTGGGTGCCTGTAGTGGTCCTTTTAAGCTTTTCCTGAATCCTGACCAGTACCCCAGACCCTACATATGAAATATACCACAAAGCATGATGTTAACACAACCACGCTTAATAGTTTTCTGGTATTGTTCTGGTTTCCTCCAGATATGAACTGTTCAATCTTCATTTCATCATACCAGAGGATCTTGTTTCCAAAAAAAGTCTGAGACTCCTTTAGATGCATTTCTTTTTGCAAATTCCAAGAAGACTTTAATTTGTCTTGCAGTGAGGAGAGGCCTGCATTTGGTCAGTCTGCTATAGAGGTGTGATCGGTGTAGTGTTGCAGTAATGGTTGTCATTCCACAAGTTTCTCCTATCTCACAGAAATTCTCTAGAGCACACCTATAGGGTTTATGGTCACCGCTCATACCAAGGCCCTTCTGCTCCCGGGCAAATAACTCTAGAAATAGTCTTGTTCCAGACTTCTTCCAGTTAAAGGAACACTATAGCATTAGGAATACAAATATGTATTCTTAATGCTATAGAGACCTAGTCACCTAAATTGTGACTAGGGTCCCTTTCTGTGGCGAATAAATGGTTAATTAACCATTTATTTGCTTACCTTAATCCAGTGCCAGAGGCACTGGTGACCTCTCCTCCTCCTCCATCAACGTCAGCTCCCGAGTGGAGCTGAATGCGCTTGCGCGGCCAGAGGATCGCTCGCATTCAAACCCGCCCATAGGTAAGCATTACTCAATGCTTTCCTATGGGGATCTTTTTTTTTACGCTGGAGGTCCGCGTAGATCACAAAAGCGGCCTCTAGTGGCTGGATGACAGGCTGGACTAACCATGCAGTGATTCCAGAGAAACTGCTATGTTTTCAGCTGCAGGGTTAAAACTAGGGGGACCTGTCACCCAGACCACTTTATTGAGCTGAAGTGGTCTTGGTGCCCATAGTGGTCTTTTAAAAATTATGGAGGCCTTTGTACTCTTGAGAATCTTCAATGCAGCAGAATTGGCATTGTAGCCTTCCATAGGTCTGTGCCTCCACGCAATCCTGTCTCTGTAGGCAGTTCCTTTGACCGTTTGCCTTGTATTTTGCTCTGATAAGCATTTACAGCTGTGAGACCCTATATGGACAGGTGTGTGTGCCTTTCCACAACATATCAAATCTACTGAGATTGTAACAGGTGTTCTCCAAAGTGTAGAAATATCTGAAAGATGAACCAGGGAAATGGAACGCATCTGAGCTAAGTTTCAAGTGTTATAGCAAAGGGTCTGAATACTTATGTCAATAGTTTCCTTTTTTTAATTTTGTTTTTAAATAAATTTGCAAAGTTTTTAAATATCTGATTGATGAGGAAAAAAAAAATAACGTAAACTATTGTAACATAAGGCTGCAACCTAATAAATGAAGGTGTCTGTGGAGTAAATTGGCGCTATATAAATGCCAGTAATAATAATTTAAAAAAAAAAATACACTGTATATAAAATAATATATAATATTATACTATATTATTATTATATTAATAAATGACTGAATTAAAGAATAAAAATTATAGTTTTGCTTTAGTAGATGACAATAATAATATATGGCTGTAGTAGTTAATAAAATAATACTTTGTCCCCACTCACTCCCTCTAGCTGTACCCGGAAGTGTCTACTGTGACACTTTAGTACAATCCCTTTCGTCACGTGACAAACAATAGGCCAAACCTCTCCCTTCCCGGGTGGGGGGAGCATTACTTCAGCATTTAATCCTCACAGCCTTCCTTCCTTCTATTTTACCGGGTATACCCGCCAATCCTTGCCTTATCTTCTAAACGGCTGGTCATTTTTACCGGTCCCCCCGCGTCCTGTTACTCCACGTGATTACCGACTCCCCCTCCAGCAGCGCTTGGTCTCTTCCGACAGTTACTGTTTACACTCACGGGCCGCTGAATTCCAGCGTTTGCGCGGGGGAAGACGGTGTCTTCTTTTGCCCCACGTCAGACTTTCCTTACCCTCTTCCACCCTGTTAACACCCGGTTTGGGGCGTTTTAATAACGAGTATTTTGCTCCTGGTTGCCCGAAGGCTCTGTCTCCGTTATAAAGTCGTTGTATTGGCCGTTGTCCCCCCCTCCGCCGCTCGCCGTATGGTTCGCTCCGTTCTGTTCCCTGGCTCTCCCAGGCGGCAGGAGCTCAGTGTATGAGTAGCCGGCTGCGAGCGCGGCTTGCTGGAGACAGGGGGAGGAGATGCTGCCCGACCCCCGGCTCCTCACGGCCTGTCAGGAAGCGGAGGAGGGATGAGGAGACCCCCACTGCCGACATGGAGCCGGTGATCAGCCCCCAGCGGAAGCGGCGCTGCAGCCCCCTGAAGGAGCGGCCCCCCGCCCCCCTCACCCTCCAGACCCTGAACGGCACCCGCCGCCCCCAGCAGCCCAGGAAGCGGCTCCCGGGACCCCGCTACAGCCTGCTGGCCGAGATCGGACGCGGCAGCTACGGCGTGGTGTACGAGGCCCTGGCCCGGAAGAGCGGCGCCCGGGTGGCGGTGAAGAAGATCCGCTGCGACGCCCCGGAGAACGTGGAGCTGGCCCTGTCCGAGTTCTGGGCTCTGACCAGCCTGCGCCGCCGCCACCCCAACATCGTGCGCTTCGAGGAGTGCGTGCTGCAGCGCAACGGCCTGGCCCAGAGGATGAGCCACGGCAACAAGAACTCCCAGCTCTACCTGCGGCTGGTGGAGACCTCCATCAAAGGTACCACGACAGCCCCCCCGGGAATGGGACTGGGGGGACACGGGGGACTGCTACACGGGGGGGAGGGCTACTACAGCCCGGGGCTTGGGGGGGAGCCTACTACACGGGGGGGAGCTGCTACTACAGCCCGGGGACTGGGGCCTACTACAGCTGGGGGGGCCTGGGACACGGGGGGTGGGGTTGCTGCTACAGTGGGGAGCTGCTACTACAGCCCGGGGACTGGGAGGCCTACTACACGGGAGCTGCTACTACAGCCCGGGGACTGGGGGCCTACTACACGGGGGGGAGCTGCTACTACAGCCCGGGGACTGGGGCACGGAGGGCTTGGTCACACAGCTGCCTTCATGGGGGGCCAGGGTGAGGGAAGCTGTAATCGTAGTGTGTGCTGGGAGACGCTGGGTAATAGAGGCCGGGGATGAGGCCTAGGAAGGGGTGTGTACTCCCACATGAGGCTGGGCTCCATGGCAGAGAGCAGGCCTTGCTGTGCCCTGGGCTGCCATTAGGGAATGTGTCCTCCACCCCCCCAATCAGAGCCCCAGACACTGTGTGTGTGTGTACACTGGCTGGTGCCCCAGACTGGCTGTAACCATCCCCAGGGCTGGGCTCTGGGACCCAGGGGGGTTTGGGGTTAAACTCCATCAAATGCTGGGGTGTACTGGCCGGGAATGTGAGTGTGGGGATTGGGAGCCTGCTTTTGTCTGCTAGGAAGTAATAATAATGGTGATAGGCCTGGAGCATGGGATGTCCCAAGTGAGAGAGAATGTGTATACCTGCAGCCTGGGCCTCTATATGACATCTGTGTTTGCCATGCAGTGCTTACAAAGACAGGTGGGGAACTCCTTTGGGACAAGGCTGCATCTCTGTAAATCAAATGTATACATTGCATAGCGCTGTCACGTATAGACAAGCAGACACTTCTCTGCCACTTGCTGCACTTCCTTTGGGAGTGCAGGACGTGGGACTGAACGTCTGTACCAAAATCGCCCTTTAATTTGATAAAACAAATGTTGTTCTACTTTCTTAAGGTTTATAGTTTACTGTTTTGTTATTGCGGGTGACACATGTCTAAGGGTAGCATAAAATGCAGTTTGGTGAGTGTAACGTAAGTTTTAAAGAATTAAGGGGTGATTTTCAGATGCGTGGTGCTTCCCCACCATAATCATCCTCACCACTGTGCTGAGAGTAGATCACAATTGTTCCAGTGTATGATCACTGAGCAAATGTGTGATACTTATCCGGCTTCTGTCTAGTATAAAGCAGGATGTTTTGCTTTTGTGTGGCTGACACGTTCACTGTAAATGACATGTCCTGTCAGTAATCGTGTACTGTCTGGATACAGTGTGTACTCTACTGAGATTAAGGTCCCTGATGAGATGTAATCCTTTCCAGTCTGATCTCTGACTAGCTTGAAAGTGAATCTGTAGCAATGTGGATTAAAGTAAGGATGTACCTGAATGCTTGAATCCTGTTATTGGGTGATGGAGTCTTCACTAATCACATGATTGCTAGTATACTTTAAGATATTTATCAGCATATAATTTGCCTGCCCATATTGTCGGTGTCCACAGAAGTACTTCTTGTGCCCCTGAGGTACAATGCTGCTAATTGCCTCTCTAACGAGGTGTGATCTTTGAAGGTTGGCAATGCGTTTCAGATGTTTACATTGTTGGGTGTAATATGACAGCATTCAATTTTACTAGTAAGCAGCTGAATCTTGTAATTGGCCCCTTTCTAATACATTCTGGATGGGTCCCTTGTGAGAGCCACGATCCTCATGTGGAATGATTATCCATCAGAGATATCTGCATCGTATAAACAGAACACTACAGATGTTTGTGAGCTATATTTTCTGATTCATAAGTATCTTGACTGCCTAGGTCAGCTATCACTGAGATGTGTGTAACTTCGTCCCATATCTCTCTAGCTTTGGCACTCGTTTTAATTCAGCCTCTGTAATGTATCGTGTAGAAACTGTTAATATCTGGGTTTCTGTCAGGTAGAGTTTAACCCCTTAAGGACCAAACTTCTGGAATAAAAGGAATCATGTGTCCTTAAGGGGCTAAGTATGCTGTATTTTATCGGTCAGAACAATCTTTTCCAAACAAACTATTTTATTTTTATTTTTTTCCCTCCTTGCTAATTGTTACACCTTTTCTTTTACTGCAGGGGAGCGTATTTTGGGATATTCTGAGGAAGCCTGTTACCTCTGGTTTGTCATGGAGTTTTGCGAAGGTGGAGATTTAAACCAGTATGTACTTTCCAGGCGGCCGGATCCAGCAACCAATAAGAGTTTTATGCTGCAGCTGACCAGCGCCATTGCTTTTCTACACAAGAACCAGATTGTTCACAGAGACTTAAAACCAGACAACATTCTGATTACAGAGCGCTCTGGGTCCCCTGTACTTAAAGTGGCAGACTTTGGGCTCAGTAAAGTGTGTGCAGGTTTGGCTCCTCGTGGAAAGGACAGTGCAGAGGGTGGCAGCAATGAAAACAGAACTGTCAATGTCAACAAGTACTGGTTATCATCTGCATGCGGCTCAGACTTCTACATGGCTCCTGAGGTGTGGGAGGGCCACTACACTGCAAAAGCTGATATATTTGCTCTGGGCATCATCATATGGGCCATGATCGAGCGCATCACTTTCGTTGATGCAGAGACCAAGAAGGAGCTTCTAGGGACTTACATAAAGCAGGGAAGTGAGATTGTCCCTGTGGGTGAGGCACTGCTAGAGAACCCAAAGATGGAACTTCACATCCCACAGAAACGCAGGACTTCCATGTCTGAGGGCATCCGGCGGCTGCTGAAAGACATGCTGGCTGTTAACCCGCAGGATCGGCCAGATGCTTTTGAGTTAGAGACGCGAATGGACCAAGTTACTTGTGCTGCTTGAGGAAGTGTGTCGGTGAGTGACTTGGAAATCACTTGCTCTCCGTGTTCCACAGGACACTGTTTAAAAGGATAGTTCAAGCACTAAAACCACTTCTGTCTGCTGTTGCGGTCATGGCGCAAGGACCATCTCCTCAGTTCCTGCATTTGCTTAGTAAAACACTGCTGTTTTTCCTGAATATTGGGAAAAGTGTTTGGCACTGTAACTTCTCCCCCAGTCAACTCATCCAACTGTACAAATATTTTGTATTCTCAGGAAAGCTTCCTCAATTGTTTGACTAGATTGGTGGGATGGAGTTGGTTCCAAATGCTTTAGCAGATATTAGATCTGCAACATTTCTAAAGGTGAGATTGTTGGGACGTGGTCCTTGCACCAAAACCACTTCTTGCTGTGGTGGCTCTGGTGATTGGCACATCCCATGAAAATGGGATGGCAACTATTGTTTTCTCAAATGCTTTAACACGATACAGTTTTGAAATAATCCCTTTACATTTAAAGATCTAAATCTATATACCAGCAGAGACTCCTTTATGTGCGTGACTTCTAGTGTGCAATTTTTAGAATAGTTAAAGGAACACTATAGCATTGGGAATGTATTCCTAACTGTATAGTCTTTCCCTACCTATGTTGCTTGACCACCCAGTTTTAATTGCATTACATCCAGTGTTGCGTTGCTCTCTGCCTTCCTGGCTTAGAACATCAGTCTTGATTGTCACGGCAAATCCAGTGATTCCCTTTAGGTACTCTTTGTAGTGTGCATGCGCAGTGAAACGTTGCTCTGGCCAATCACTTTCTCTCTAGAAAAGTAATTTTAGCTATTGGGGTTTAGCTCTGTTATAGATTTTGGAAGCGCCTCTAGAAGCTGTCTTCCTGACTGCCACTAGAGGGGTGTTAACCCTGTAATGAAAACATTGCCTTTCCTGCAAAATGTCATGTTTTTGTTTTTCACCTAAGTTGCAGGTATGTGGCACCCGGACCACTTTATTTATATAAAGTGATCTTTGTGCCTATGGCGGCCCTTTAATAAAACAATTGGGGATTCAGCATAGCAGTTCTGTCCTGTTGCATGACTACCTTTATAAACTTGCATATCCTATGATTTACAGAGTTGTTAACATCTGGTGAGTTAATGGTAGCGGGGGGTGTATGATGTGCCTTTTGTAATCGTTAAGAGCAATTGTTGCATTTTTAGAATTTGCCTACCTCGTATTATGTCTTGCTCTACAAGCTTTCCTGTATGCGGGGAACATAATATATCTGTGGAACAACCGCGCTGTAAGGATATCCCTCCACCATGCTCCCACTCTATCTGAATCTAAAGCTAGATCTCCTGGCAAGATCAGTTCCAGTCTTGAACTCAGCAGCTCACCGCTTAATCTGGCAAACGGCTGAATTCAGCTACAAGCTGCTCCAGTTGATTCACTGAGATTTCTATTTTTTTTTTTTTTCAGAGGGGGGAGTGGCAGTGAGGGATACAGGTTATTGCTGTCCTCATATCCCAGCCTTCCTGCATTTACCAGAGTAGAGAACAGTCTGTAGCCTGTTTTCATTTCCCCATCTGTGACCATTCATGCTTGCTAATGCAGCTTATATAACTCAGTGCCCGAGGGGGACACAGGGTAGATACGTTAGATATTGGTGCGCCGTTCTAATGCCTCCCAGCTGCTTACTGTGCATTGCTATCCTTGCACATTCCTCTACTTCCCCCGAACTGTCCCCAGCACTGATTGTCCTAAACACTCACGTGTCTGTGCCAGTCTCTGTGCCATGTTGCCATCATCGCACGTGTTGCAAAACCTCAATCCTCTAACATCTGCCAAAATAAATGGGTCATCGTGTCATTAGGACGTGGTGAGGGCTCTGTTTTTATCGCCTCTTTACCAGTGTAGAATTGTTACAATCAGATATAGATTGTGTATGAATGAGAATGGATTTTCATAATGGTACATTCTAAATTTGCATAAACTGTTTCCTCACCAAATTTAGTACTAGGCTAGATGCTGACCAGAGCGAGCCTGATGCTAACGAGATCCAAAAGGTCAAATCTGTTTTTTTCGGTTGGTTGATTTTCTTTGACCCTCTGGGATCACAGCTCCTGCACTGGTTTAAAGCCGTGTTCCTTTTGCTTGGGGTGGAAGGGGGACCTGTCAGTGCTTTGTGTCAAGCTGAGACCTCTTGAGGTGACAGTCCTTAAGGTGGCCTTTTCACAAGCTCCTAGTTGAGATGTAGGGAAAGACACACCTACTCAAAACATACTGTTGTGCATTTCATTTCTGCACCCCCTCTTGTGCCATTCTTGCTGCCTTGGGCCATATGCAAGTTAATTCTTGCTTTTATGTAGTAAATCTAGTTTTATTTCCTTTCTCCACCTGCTACACAGCTATGACCGTTACCGGCTGCTGTTGCGGCTACTTTGATGCCTGCATGATTGGATGCAAACTTCCTTTAACTTTTATTTATTGTGCAGTTGTCCAAACAGTACACAGCTGCACTTAAGAGATTAACTGGAAGTATGCAAAAATATAATGGCTATTGACGGCATGGGAAATGTTGAGTTCTAGGAATGATCTTTGAGTGACTTGGTGAATACGTATCATTTATCTGGTGCTTTGCATGAGCAGTACATCTGCAGTACTACATTATTCCAGTCTATAGAATCATTGTTGGCAAACCTTACCTTGAACTCCATTAGTATGGTAAAGATGTGTATTTATTGTAGTGATGGGGCTGGGAGGCAGAATCATTGAGCTTGTAAGGAAGGAGGGCAGGGGACCAACTGGTGGGAAACACAATCTGATAGTAATGAAGGGGAGTGGCAGTCTCATTTGTGGCATAATGGAGTCTAAAGATGGGCTGGTTAGCAAGTGTTGGTTGTGGGGGGGTAGGTGGGTTGCAGCATGAAACTGTCACTTATAAAGTGGCACCATTTCTTAAAGTGTCTTAACAGAATGGGGTTAGTGACATTCAGTGACTTGGGAGGTATTAAAATGTGCTCAGTAGATGCTCACACAGTGGACGGTGGGATATCTGTTCATTCACGTTTGATTTCTGAAGGCTGAGTAGCAAGTCTGGTGCGCTTCAGTTGCGGGGTACCTTCCAAGCAAATGAGTAAAGGGCTAGGGAGAGCAGCGAAGGCTTGTCCGTCTGCTCCAAATATGTCTTCAGTTACAGATCTTAATACCCTCTCGTGTCTGTTTACATGCCTGTAGCTTGACTGTCTTAGTGACACAGGTCAGCGGAAATGAAGGCCAAATGGGCACCTGCACACCAGACTTGCACAGAATTTTGTGCCACGTGGCTGTCTAGTGTACCCAAACCGTTATTATAATTTAGGCAATAATGTTGCCTCAGGTTTAAATATTTGTAAATTTATTCAACCCTTTCCCTTGTGTATCTGGTGACTGGATTTTGTGAATGTGTAACGTACCAAAACGTTAGATATAGATAAATGTCTGTCTGGTGTGCGTGTTTTTTTTATTTTTATCCCTTTGTTATTTTGCCTTGGGGGGGCATTCTGGTCCTACACAAACCGAATTCTTCAGTCAGAGCTTCAGATGGTGTACTGTCTGCTGCGTGTGAAATATTGCTGTAGGTGTTGACATAACGTGGTGCGATGTCTTGTCACATTGCTGCAGTCTCCTGGTTTGATGTGAGGTCATTGGCTGTGCATCATGGCTGTTGCAGTTCTGAATTCTCTGCCATTTTGCCATCGGGCTGGAACCACCATTGTGCTGTTTCATTGATGTTATTGGATATTTTTTTTTCATGTTCTTTATTGGTTAATCCTTCCAGTTTTATCCTAATTATTTGTCTTCTTCCCCTACAGGGTTAACGAGTGACAAGACCCTTGTGTTCTTTCAAGCTTGAAGCTACATCTGATCTTACCTGGAAAGCTCTGCGTGGTTGGAGCATTGGGGAGATGGGCCTTTTCTTTTTAAATACATGGTTTTTAAAGACCTGCTAGAGAATGGCTTCTATGTCCACCCAGCTCTCCTGGTGCTGGCTACCTGATGTTCCCTTGTTTTGGATAGCTTCACTGACATATTATTCTACAGGCAATGGCACCATGCTCCTTAGGATACTGTGGCAAAGCTATAGTGCCCCAGTGGAGCCTGCATATTGTTACACCACCACGTGTATCAGGTGTGGCAACAAAACCGACTCCACTGGTCTTGGTTTCATTAATAATTTGCATGAGCTGCAGTCAGCTCTGTGGGGTTAAGGGAGGTGGTAGGCTTTCTTCAGGGGTGGTACACTAAACAACTGCATCTTTAAATGGGGTGAGCTGTCCTGTGCCCTCCTGCATCTAATCCCACAAAGTCTTCCCTTACTGTAAAACCCATCCCTGTGCCTGGTCCCCACAGCCCTCCCCAGCCACCAAGCATGGCACTGCAACCAAACCTATCCTGCACACTCATCATGACTCAGGGATATCTGACTCAAGGGGAAATAAAAGGTCCTCCGCTGCTTGCAGAGGAGTTCCTTGGGGTTCACTTTACCTCCCTTGTGCCTAACTCTCGCCTCCCTCTTTGCAGCACTTTTCAAACCTTGTTTCCTCTCCATGCCCAGAGGCAGGGACAATAAATTTATTTTTCAAGCCTCTACCGAAGTGCCTATTAGCGCGCAGGTTTCTCAACCACTGGGACAAATGGGATGGGAGAATAGGTGGGGTTATCTTAGCGTTGGGGGTGGGGCTTGCACTGTCTTTTTAGTCACTTGTGAAACTCTTGTGCCTTAATTAACCTTTTGCTCCTGCCACCCAGTTATCACTGTGCCTGCTACCTTTCCTACCCTTGTTCACCTATCAGCCCTCGTTTACAAAACATTCATCCCTTGCTGGATGGGGTGGACTGCAGGCTGCTCACAATCAGACTATGATGGCAGACACAAGATTTTTAGTTCTGATACTTTAATGCAGACGTGTGGGAAATGTGCATCTCAAAGCGCCTAGGTGTGCTCCTGGATGTCAGTATATACGAGAAATGGCTCTGCAGTACAGTTGGAGGATGCTTTATAATCTCTCCTTCACCCCCATAAAAAGCCTATTTATGCAAGGAAAGTGTCTGTCTGTATCAAGACACGTTCCCTTTCCATTCTTCAATTTTGGTTACTGCTGTTGTCACACCATGTTTGCCCCTTTTTGACCTGGATGGCAGTAAAAATGCACGCTTAGAGCTTCTTTTTTTTTTTTTTTTCTTTAAAGTTCGCTTCTACAAATTTCCAAAGCAGTATTTGCCAATTACTTGCATTGACCTGCAGTGCAGAAAATGCATTTACAATTTATTTTTGAACTTTTTTAATTTAATTTTTTAAAGAAATCCTATAACTTTAAGTAAATGCAACAGTGTCAGGTTATGCTTCTGTCTGACCGTAATCCCAGCAGAGTAGTGCCCACATTTTCATCTTCGGTAAACCATCAGAAATGAGTGGAAGACGCTAACTATATGAAAGGAGACTTTGGGTTCTTGTGTCATTATTTTTATTTATTTTTTAAGTCTGGATATTGGGAGCAATCGAATCACTAAGCACTGCTGGATAGGCCTGCTAACAGTCTAGATCATACCCTTTTGCAGTGTGATCAGGCTTCATGTTGCATGTCTGTCTCTGTCATTAATAGAATGACATGCTGTGCTCGACCATACAGTTCTATCTGTACTGTGTACAGTAAGGCCCTACCAGTGTACACCATTGTCTCTTGCCTATACGCGAGTACTGGCTGAGTGTATAATTCAAACTGCTCCTAAATATTCGGCTGTCTTACCATGTGACGTTACACTAACATTCTCATATCCCAACATTCATGTCATTGGAAAATTTATAGCAGGAGACCTAGCTGATGGCTTTATATTTTTTTTTAAACTTTATTTTATTTTTATGGGAATCTTTCCACCAAGCCTGAGAATTCAGGGTAACAAATGTGTTGCTGCAGAGAGGCTTTGCTCCTGTCTGCCTGAAGTAGGCTATCTTGATCTACAGTGTATTCCCAAAGATGCTGGTGGGCAGTACATGTAAAGTGCTGTCCTTCAACATGCAATATGTTAAAGGACATTGTGTTGCACGGCATTACTTTTCATGCACTACCCACTGGCTGATGGTTGATCTGTCCAGAAAGACTTGACGGATCTGGCAACCCTAAGTCACCTCTGCAGAGTAGTGTGGTTGTGTTTTTTGTTTTTGTTTTTTTTAATGGTAATAAAGAATAGCTGATTTTTGCTTCAAATTAATGTGACAAGCGATTGCGTGGAAAGATTTATTAATCTGCTTTTAGTTCTTCTTGCACCATGCTTATTTATTTTGTATCCAACATTCACAGGGTTTAGTGACAGTCCCTCTTTAAATGTCTGTGCAATGCATGTCATCCACTTAACGTGCACAGAACGTGTCCACATGTTCCCAGGATGTCTTTGTGCACTTTTGCTGCTGTTTTTTGAGATGTAACTGCGTATAAACTAGCCCATCTCTAAAAATTCTATGTACTGGATACCCTTCCAACCCCCACAGTACAGTTCTCAATCCTGTTCTCCATTCCCCTTTTTTTTTGCACATATGCTGGTGACAGGACCTTCTCTCTTTTTTTTTTCTCTTCATTTTCTTTAATATTGACCTGATTGTACGCTCCCCCTTCACGTCTTCCCCCTTACATGATGTCCTTCTGTATTTATGTTCATGTCCCTTTAACACTGTAGCGCTCCCCGAGTGGCTGTTTGTGATGTATGTACATTTTTTGTTTTCCTTCTTGTGTATATAAATAAAATCAGAGAAACCTTCATCTGTGTTGCGGCCTTTTATTCCAAATGCTTGGACTTCATACTGTTTGGTAGTAATAGCCATTGTCAAATTCTGCCGTAGTTTTTTTTTAAATGGCAATCGCCACTTCCAAAAAGCTGACTGTTTACTTATACGCTATATTTAAGTCGTGTTTTGGTCTGGGGAAAAAATATATTTACCGAAATCAATGTTTGTGACTCCGTTTCAATCCTATACAAGCAACACTAGAATCTCCACTACACACATACAACTAACTCACATACACCCTTATCACAGACAGTACACTCACACCCACACAATACCACAGAGCACACATATAATCAGCCAACGGACAATGTCACAAATAACTCCTAACACACAGATGCTGGATAACACAAGCAGCCAACATTCACACTTTAAACCCAACAAGCAAACCGTTCCACAAACTGTATAACCAACACATCAATACAACCTCACAGTGATTGTCAATGCCAAGCTCTATCAATCTACTGCTTGTCAGACGGCCACTGGGGACCTATGGATCATGCGTGCCAACTGCCAGTCTCCGCCAACCTCTTGTTTCTCATAGACAAGCATTTAATAAATGTTTCACTGGGAGAAGCATGAACAGTGTCATACTGAGCAGTTCTCAAAGGTACCCCCTTTGGCATGGTTTTGTCACAATGTAATCATCAACACTGTGGTTTTATGGTTTATATTTGGGGATGGCAACCATGTCTGTGCTCCAAAACCACTACGTTAAGATTAACTGGCTTTGATTAATATTGGGGGATGTGTGTATGTATACGTACACACACACCGAGCATCATATGTAGACATTCTAGGCTATCGTCAATGTTTTACCCGTTTCCATTGCAATGTAAGTGGCTGGGTTTTTTTTTCCTTTCTCTCTTTAGTATAGCTAGCTTGGCTTATGCTGCCTTGTAAGCAAAGGCTGCTATGTTTCGTCACTCAACACCACAACGCTTCTCTATACTGACTGACTATTTTGTGGTATACTCCTTAGAGGAAAATGGTGGTGGATCAGTCATAGTCCGTCCCGACACGCCACGTGTGTTCATGGGGTAAATAGACCTCTAACCAGTTAGGTTCACATCTAGTGAAGCGTGGAGGACATGGTCTTGCTTTATATGTACTGACACGACTGTAAATCCAATTCCTTCAGCCTGATTGCTCCCCAATGGAGCTGTCAGGTTCTGTTACCCGCAGCCATGTTACATGGTATAGATATGTGAACACCTGTGAATCCACTGACGTGGGCTCACGTGGCCCGGAGCACATACTGCACACCTGTTCTCCAACATGCATGCTTCTAGAGCAATTTATAACCTGCACACATTATACACACACCCTGCTCACTGGATTCAATTCTGAATTCTTGTCCCAGCCTCTGGCGTTTTGGTACTTGGACTTCCTGACTGCTAGCCGGGCTGTTGTGTCAGCAGTTCATTGCTGCTGATGTGCTGTTTCTTCAGCTCTTTGTTAGTGGGACCTGACTCTGCATTAATTTGATAAATGTCCAGCTCAGCACCCAGAGGCGGTAAAGATAATAAGTTATGGGGGATGTCTGTAACGTACAAAGCACTCTACAATGGGATGAGCGTATATAAGGACCCTGCTTGTATTGCTGCATCTTCTATCATTTCTATTCCTGGTACTGTAATGTCAGCCCATAACCTCTACAGAAACTCCAAAATATCGGGTATTGGTGATGCATCGTGCTAACAGACATGCCGCCAAATGCTGGGCTGGCTAAATGTTGCATGATATTTGTATTTACACCTGTTACTCAGTGGTTCTAGAGCAGGGGTGCCCAAAGTTACATCCCCAAGTGTTGCTTTGACATTCTAAAGGCATGCAAAGCATCATGGGAGTTGTACTTTTCTGGGCATCTACCTTTTGGGCAGTCCTGTTTTAGAGGAATTTTAAAACCCAGTTTTCATGTAATCTATAAAGTAGGCCGCAACCTAACTGCACCGTGTACAAGATGCATGTATACTCTGCGTTCACACTGATTTCAAAGGGCAGACCTGGTGTATGGATGGGGATTGTCATTTGGCTTACCTTTAATCTGGGGTGAGTGGGACATGCGATTGTATGGTTTCTAGTACAGACCTGCATTTGATAGCTCTGGTAGAGAAAGAGTAGTACGTACACAAAATAGAATTTGAGTAAATGTACAAGAAACTACGAATGTTTGTTGGGGGAGAGGTGTATATGCTTTCTTGATATAGGAAAAAATTTAATCAATAAATCCGGTATTGAGAAGGGAATCACTTTTTGATCCTCCATAGCTCCCCTAAGTAGTCGATTATTCCATAGTAGGGCCATCTAAATAGGGTGACGTTTTTATTAGTCATCACAATCTAGGTTTATGAAACATTAGAAATACAGTTGACAAACAATTGTGGCGACACATTCACTGCCCTAAATCACACAATGTTATTTCCTACCCACAGAATTCATGAAGCTATCAGGCAGATGCACAGGTGGTCAGGATTTGATCTTCGGGACGGCCCTGCATTTTTGTGGAGTTAAATTTGAATGGTGTGGTCGCATAATAAGAGGAAGATGTCCCCCGATTTTAAAAAAATAAAAATCTCTCTTGCAAACAAGTGAATATTTTTTTTAATTTTTTTTTTTTGCGATTGAGGTGCTTATTTACTAAAAGGACATATGTTACTTTACTGACAAGATTGAACAGCTAAGGGAACAATTCTCCCCTCCTTGCTGTTCTTTCTCAACCCCAAGTAAATCATGCATTCCTTACTCTCCAGACTTTCTTCCCGGCTACTGTTCAAGAGGTGGCTGCGCTTCTCCATTCCTCTCGCCCCACCACTTGCCCGCTCGATCCTGTCCCATCTCACCTGATCAGATCTCTCTCCCCTTGTCTTGTGCCTACCCTAACACATCTTTAACGGCTCTCTCTCTTCTGGCACTGTTCCTGCTGACCTTAAACATGCCACTGTAATACCTATCCTAAAAATAAAAAAAATAAAAAAAAATCTCTTGACCCGTCCTCCCCCTTCATCATCCCATATCCCTGCTCCCTTTCTCATCAAAGCTTTTGGAAAGACTTGTCTTTACCTGTGTCTCGCTTCCTTCATTCCAACTCTCTTCTTGACCCTCTTCAGTCTGGCTTCCGCCCTCTACTGAGACCGCTCTTATCAAAGTGACTAATGACCTAATCTCCGCTAAATCCAAAGGTCATTACCCCATATTAATTCTCCTTGACCTCTCTGCTGCCTTTGACACCGTTGATCATCCTTCAAACTCTTCAATCGCTCGGTCTCTGTGACTCTGTCCTCTCTTGGTTTTCCGCCTATCTCTCCCAACGCTCATTCAGTGTCTCCTTTTCCAAGGATACCTCCTCCCCTCGTCCTGTCTCGGTTGGAGTTCCCCAAGGCTCTGTCCTTGTTCCCCTTCTATTTTTTCTTTATACTGCCTCTCTTGGTAAACTTATTGCCTCTTTTGGATTCCACTACCACCTGTACGCTGATGACACTCAGATATACCTCTCCCTTGCCGTCCTGCAACGTGTCACTGCTTGCCTTTCTTCCATCCCTGACTGGATGTCCTCACGCTTTCTGAAACTTAACCTCTATAAAACTGAACTCCTTGTCTTTCCTCCTCCTAATACTGGTCCTCCTCTCTCGCTCTCCCTTCAAGACAGTGATATCCACATAAGTCCATCCTTGCAAGCGCACTGTCTTGGCGTTATACTTGACTCTGGTCTCACATCCAGTTTGTCGCCAAGTCTTGTAGGTTCCAACTCAAAAACATAGCCCGCATCCTCCCCTTTCTTTAGCAAGATGCTACCAAGGAGGTTGTCCATGCTCTAGTAATTTCCCGCATGGCTTACTGTAACCCTTCTGATTGGTCTTCTCAAAAGCCGTATTGCCCCGCTACAGTCTGTAATGAATGCTGCAGCTAGACTGATTTTCCTCTCTAGTCGGTCCTCTCATACCTCACCCCTCTGCCAGTCCTTACATTGGCTTCCTGTATCCTATAGGAGTCAATTCAAAGTGCTTACCCATACATTTAAAGCACTGACCAATTAGCCCCTCTTATATCTCTTCACTGATCCATAGGTATGCCCCTCCTTGTACCCTCTGCTCTGCCTGTGACCACCTCCTGACCACTGCCCGCACCCATACGGCCAACTTGCGCTTGCAGGACCTCTTGCGGGCGGCTCCTTTCCTATGGAATAGCTTGCCTACTGCCATCACTCTCCCCTAGTCTTCAATCATTTAAGAAGGGCCTTAAAACCCATCTCTTCAGGAAAGCTTATGGTCTCTCAGAGTAATCTGTACCTTACATACCTGTCTCTTGCTCTCTCCTCCAGCTCTGCTTCACTCCCACCCAATTTGATATTCCCTGTCCTAATGTTTCTAATACCCCACCTCCTAGAGTCTGTAAGCTCATTTGAGCAGGGTCCTCTTCAACCTATTGTTCTATTTAGAGTTACATCCCCCCCTCTCAAAATATTGTAAAGCGCTACAGAATCTGTTGGCGCTATATAAATGGCAATAATATAAGGGAATTAAAAATGTTGGCGCTAAAAACAGAACCTGACTTCTGTAAAAAAAATAATAATAATTTTTGGGTGTCTAAAATATCCAGTCCTAGATTACAGTTCCTGGTTAGTGAGTAAGCCCCAATTGGAGCTATTGTGTGAAATACTCTAAGCAAAATTAAAATGAATACTAAAAAAAACAAAAACCTTGTGAATTGTGACCTTAATTGAGTCCTTGATGGTGTTTGTGAATGTACACATCTGCAGTGTTTTATTTGTTATACTAATCCAGCCGCCTCCTGTTTATGTAACCCCTTTTACTAGCAGATATTGCCTCAAACAAGAATAACTGGTTTAAATTTAAATGCTGATAATAACAGTGAGGCCTGCAGCATGGCTACTCCCCAAATCACTGCATGTTCCTCCCACAAACAAATTGGTCCTTTTTTATAGCCAGTTTCTGACATCACCAAATGATGCCTTCTGTTACTGAACGACCTCCACGCGGGTAGTTTTGCCTATAAAGTCAGGTGGTGTCGCTACAAACCTGGGCAGATCTTTGAATGAAAATTATTTTATATTTATTTATATATAAGTAATGCATTAAATTATGCAAAATAAAGTTACCTTTTATAGGTTCGTTTTGTACCCTGTTTAGTGAGGTTGCCTTTAGCAGCGATTGGACACTGTAGTCACCAGTACAACCACAGCTTCAGAGAAAAGGGATTGTTCACATTGCGGTCTAGACCTACGGGCACCTCTAATGGCAGTTACTCTGACGGCCACTAGAGGGGCTTCCTGTGCATCTCCACACACTGCATGAAAGCGCTGAATATTCCCCATTGAGATGCTGATTGGAACAGTGTGGAACCTTGCTGCACATGCGCAATAGCCTCCCAATGTTTTTCTATGTGAAAGCATTAATGAGCTCAGCCAAGGGGGCGAAGTTAGCCGTGACAGATCCATGCGCGCTGTATAAAAGTGAGTAAAATCACCTTATAACCGGAGGTAAGGGAGCTGGGGACCTAAATTGGAATTTTAGAACTATAGTGTCAGGAATACATGTTTGTACACTATAGTATTCCTTTAATATGCTCTGTTAGGTACTACTAATTATCTTCACTCCTCTACATTTTATAGTAAATCTGCAACAACAAAAAAAACCGAATCTTTTTACTAATCTGGATCTTTGTCTGGCGTTGCCTTCCTCGCCTCCACCTGATGTCACCCAAGTGCCTTGCGCAGTCCAGTCACAAGTGTCTCATAGAAAGGCCTGTGACTGGACGATTTCAGGGCTGCCAAGGTGTAATTAACTCCCAGTACGCAAGTGCAAATGTATCTGTGTGTGCAACGTTTCAACTACAAACGCTGTAAAGAGTCATACCACCATGACCACTTCAAATCACTCCAGATTGGGGAGGAAAACTAGTGGGTGACATGTCCTTCTAAATTAAACAGCATTGAGCAGTCCCCAGTCCAAATGGCTTGTGGCTAGGTAGATCAATTGATGTGCACCATGTAAGTGGTGTATGCTTCTCTCCAATGTCCATAGTGTTCCATTAGAAATTTAACTGCACGCTCTCTTTATTATCCTGCCCGACAGCCGTGCGCCGTATAAGTGAGGGACCGTCACTAGTGAGATTTTTTGGAGGAATATTTATTTTGGGGCGGGGTGTTGGCAAATTATTCCGACTACTGCTGGAGATTTTGTGTGAGCTAAAATTAAAGGGACACTGTAGGCACTGTACCGGTTTAATCTCATTAAAGTGGTTATAGTGTCTGAAGTCCCCAGGTATCGTTGTTCCTTTCAGCGTTAAAGATTTGTTAATCTTTGCTAAACGAGAGTCCCCAGCAGCCCATTCCCTCTATGCTGCGTGTACTAATGAGAAAGCATTAGCCTTGGCGGCAGTGGGCGACTGTGATTGGATGAATGTCAGCTGACTCTTTTAACCTATCACAGTGCCCTGCATGAATCGGTATGGCTAGCAGGAAGTCTGTAATCTTTGCCTTAGCCATAACTCCAGCGGGGGTTCGCATATGGTTGGTCAGGGGCCACTGAATGGAGGGACAGAGCCAGGGGACTCCAGACACCATAATCAATTCAATGAGATGAAATGTTTGTAGTGCCCGCAGTGTCCCTTTAAGGATTAAGGTGTGCACCATTCATGAATGGAGCTAGAATATCGATTTCTGGTACAAAGATCCCTTTAAGAATTTTAGAACCTCTTCAGTGTGGGGAGATTTATTAATGTATCACTATCATAAAAGTGTTCTAAATGACTAAATGTGCATCTGATACCGTGGAAACCAGTAAAATCACATACCGTATATACTCGAGTATAAGTCGAGACCCCTAATTTTACCCCCCAAAAACTAGGAAAACTTATTGACTCGAGTATAAGACTAGGGTGGGAAATGCAGCAGCTAGTGGTAAATTTCTAAATAAAATTAGATACCAAAAAAATTACATTAATTGAATATTTATTTTGTGTGTATATAATGAATGCAGTGTGTGTATGTGATGTAGAGTGTGTAACCTTGGTGGGGGGTGGGCATTTTTATTATTTTTTAATTATTATTATTATTATTTTAATGAAATTTTTTTTTTTAATATTATTATTTTTATTTTCTTTTAATATTATAATTTTTTTTTAATATTATTTAAATTTGTATTTATATTTTTTTGCTCTCATTCCCTGGTGGTCCAGTGGCATGGGCTGTGTAGGAGGAGGGCTGGCAGCGAGCTGTAACTCACCTTTCCTGTAGCTTCTGTCAGCTCCCTTCTCCTCCACTGTAAGTCTCACGGTTGGAGTGCCGCGCGGAGCGTTGCCACGGTAACCCGTGGCAACACTCTAACCCCGCGGCTCTCACGAGACTTACAGTGGAGGAGAAGGGAGCTGCAGGAAAGGTAAGTTACAGCTCGCTGCCGGCCCCCGACAGGACCACCGGGCTCATTACAAGCCCAATGTAAGTTGCCATAATACAGACAGTGACTCGAGTATAAGACGAGTGGGTTTTTTTGTCTTATGCTCGAGTATATACGGTACTTTCTAAGTCACTCCATGTTTCGGCCAAAGTCCCTCTGTCTCTCATTACTGTCCTATTGTCCAATTCTGGGAGCTGGGATGTCTTTCATGTGTCTGAGTGTATAACAGAGTTTCACAGCAATAAAACCACAACTATTGTGTCACAAAACTACAATAAATGTGTTTATATAGCGATTGTGGCGATTGCTTCACTTTTAAATTAGCAACACTTTTAAAAAAAACCTGCCCCACATTTTCTAAGGGCAACCTGTTTTCATTGATAAAAATACTGTATGTTGTCTTAAAATTTTCTTTGGCCAAATTGACATCAGGCGATGTCTTTTTTTTCATTCAGGATGAGTTTGTTGTGGCAAAGGCTTATCCACTCAAACATCCTCCTATCGCACCCCAACATCTGACTTCCCTACCCCAACATCTTACTGCCGCACCCAAACATCTTGCTGCCGCACCCAAACATATGACTTCATTAGTCGAACATCTTGTTTCCGCACCCAAACATTTGCCTTCCCTACCCCAACATCTTACTGCCGCACCCCAACATCTGACTTCCGCACCCCAACATCTGACTTCCGCACCCCAACATCTGACTTCTACACCCAAACATCTGACTGCTGCACCCCAACATTTAACTGCTGCAGTTGGTTTATTGTTTACGAAATAATAATGGCAGGGTATGATTTAGTAACTAAACTGAATCCTTGACAAGTGGATGGCGAAAGAATTGCCCATTTTTGACCAAAACTGCAGAGTTAGAAAAATTATCTTGGTCAATTTTTCAATTTGTTGCCATTTTTGCCTAAAACGTGAAATTCTGTTGTCAGTTCTCTACAATTCCCAGTTTAGTGAATAACGCCATAATCTGAAACTTTAGGATGTCCCTACAGCCCAATGAACCTGAATTAGGGACGCGGCACGGTCCATTTCGCTGATTAGATTAAGGTCTTTGGAAAGGGGGGGATTGGAGCGATGTTCTTCTTTTTCCTAACGAGAAAGCAGTTAACATGGCAATGCTCTCTCCTGGCTGGGAATCAGGTACTGTCTGTCCTGTGCAGTCTGCGGAAGAGATAAGCCCCCAGTGGGCAGCCGGCATGAACACACTGTGTACACAGAGCTGGCCTCACATGGCACACTGACCCACA